ATAAGTGGAATTTAAGCGAGACGCAAATTAAGCGATTTGTCCTTAAAAATTGGTAATTTATTTTTAGCGAGATGCTATTTTAGCGATTTTAAAATGCACATTAAAGAAACTAATACAAATAAAACGCAATTAATTTTAAGCGATATTCAATTTTAGCGATCTCTACACCCTCGCTAATAATGCCAAAATTAAATCCTCGCTAAAATTCCTACTTCTACGATATTATGACCTTGTCAGCTGACTGACGTTTTTCATGCTAATTGTTAGTCCATTACACTGAATTGATGACGAATCCGGAGTTTTCCGTTATTCCCCGATCATGACCAGGAACAAACGGCGGGTGTGACCGGTCAGCAGGGGTGTTCACTCCTTCGTGGCACCTGATCCCATCTCTGATGTTTTAGAGGTCTGTGTTTGCTCTGCTCCTATTTTGTATTGTTTTTGGACTTTGATATTGAATACTGTTCGTTATCTCCATATCCTTTATTCTTTGAAAATCTTCTCAGCTCCTGGGCATTAAATAAACTAACCAAGTTCATAGTTATGTTGAATAAGACCGGATATTATAAATATCGTGAAATACCGATATCTGATTTTCATATCGCGATATATTATCGTGGTGGATACCGTTCTGGTGCTCATAAATCATATTGAACAGATTAGAAAGTGAAAGTGCATAATTTCTTTTAAAATCTTCTCTCTTCCTGGGTATTAAGCAAATTTAAGAAAAAATTTTAATGAATAAAGGCACCCTTCCAAGTTGCAAATTGATGACCCCAGGTTCAGGGATTTTTTGGTTCAAGGGCGGGGCCCGATTGATTATATATTGACAATAATTTATTGCTTTGAAAATCGTGTCTACTTCTTAGTTTTAAACAAACTGATGAGTTTTATGCGGTACTACATAAATTACATGTATATGATATAAACGCACTAATTCCTTGAATATCTTCTCTGCTCCTTTGGTATAAAGCAGATAGATGAACTACCTAGGCATGATGAGCAAAGGTCGTTCAGAATAAATGGTATTACAATAAACCTGTAATACATGTCTCTTTTAATTTATTACATTAACTATCTTTAGTAAATCAACAGTTAGGTCTACTGCTCTTGCTTATGTTAATATACCTGTCATCTTAGTTTTCTGTTTGCTGAATAAGTCATTCGGGAACTTCAGGTATAATAATCCATATATCGATATTCATTGCATTAAAATATTTCCCTTTCTGTGTTATTTCTCTGACATTATTGATACCAAAGAGATGACATTTCAGGCTTTCTGGAAAGCCAAACTTGTCTTAACCTTTTAAATAGTCTTCTTAAAAAGGCCAAGGGAAAATCCAATTTTTGATTCCTCGCCACCCGAATGTAGGCTCGGTTCTGTGATTCTGGATATTGCAAATCATAGGCTTTATAAACCCGCATGTTTTACTGAGAAAACACTAACAAAAAATACTATAGTTAACTATAGTTAACTATAGTTATACCTTTGACACTTTGAAAACTTTGATTTACTATAGTGATCACTTTGACACTTTGAAAAACTTTATCTAAAACTTTGACACTGAAAAACTATGGCGAAAAATTTGCCACTTTGAAAAACTTTGACGAAAACTTTGACACTTCGAAAAATTTTGCGTAACTTTGAAAAACTTTATCAAAATATTTAACACTTTGAAAAACTTTATAGAAAACTTTGACACTTTGAGAACGTTTGCGAAAACTTTGACACTTTGAAAAACTTTGGCGAAAACTTTGACACTTTAAAAAGCTTTATCAAAATATTTAACACTTTGAAAAACTTTATAGAAAACTTTGACACTTTGAGAAACTTTGCGAAAACTTTGACACTTTGAAAAACTAAAATATTTTATGAACTTCAAAATTGTATACTTTATTCTTATCAAAATACATTATATTGATTTATTTATTTTCTTTTAAAGTTGTTATAATTTTGTTATATTTGACAGTTTAAGTTGTTATAATTGAAATGAAACATATGGAGATAACAAACAGTATCATTATTAATAAAGACGTTAAATTTGTCATGAATTACAGCGCTATCTAAAAGCAATAAACAAAATTTGATCGTCTACAATTATTATACCCACCTGATCCGAGGGAGAGGGGTATGCTGTTTAACACTTGTGTGTCTGTCCGTCTCTCTGTGTGTCCGTAACAATTTTTTGGTCACAGTTTACAGTTTTCTTAACAACTATTCATCGCAGATGCTTGAAATTTAATGCATGCCATATTGTGAGATTGGATTTTGTTCAAATCCGATGTGAAATTTCATGTTTATCTGGTTTGTCTGTACCAGGGACGTAGCAACAGGGGGGGCCTGGTCCCCCCCCCCCCACTTTTTTCGCCAAAAATACTATTACTATTGAAAATGTTCATTGAAAGGCTGGTTGTCCCCCCCACTTTATACTAAAGTAAAGTAATATGAAGGAAATATAGTATTGTAAGCTTAAAAAATGGATATTGAAAGGAATTGGTAGTGAAAAAAGTTCCCCCCCCCCCCCCCCCACACACACGAAATAGGAATTTCGACTTTGGGTATTTTCCTTTTTTTTTTTTTTGTTTGTCAACTTTTTCAGGTAAGTAAAAAAAATTGCTGAGGCTGGCCCCCCTACTCTCAAAATCGATGCTACGTGCCTGTGTACCGTATATAACAAATTTTCTTCTGTTTTCTCAGCAATTACTCGTCGGAGATGCTTGAAATTTAAGCACACTATTTTTTCAGGCATGATATTTTGCAATTAATTGTTGCTTAAACCCGACGGTAATTTAATGTTTATCCGTGCGTCTGTTCGTACATACTGTCGCAATTTTCTCAGCAACTACTCATCACAGATGCTTGAAATTTCTGAGGCTGGCCCCCTCACTTTCAAAATCGATGCTACGTGCCTGTGTACCATATATAACAAATTTTCTTGTTTTCTCAGCAATTACTCGTCGGAGATGCTTGAAATTTAAGCATACTCTTTTTTCAGGCATGTCATATTTTGCTATTAATTGTTGCTTAAACCCGACGGCAATTTAATGTTTATCCGTGCGTCTGTTCGTACATACTGTCGCAATTTTCTCAGCAACTACTCATCGCAGATGCTTGAAATGTTAGCATATATTTTGGTTAAATATGCCAAATGATTGGGATTTTATTTTGTATGAATCTGATGTCAACTTTCTATTTATTTGTGCATCTGTCGTAACTGAACTAGTGTACATTGACATGACAGTGAATATTTGGGTATTACTATTGAGTATTGGTTCACAGATTTCTTGCTAATTCAATTTCCTGGCTTACTGCTTTTGTAAACTACCGTTACGTTTAACCATTGTTAGTAACAGGGAATAAAACATCTGCAAATCTTCTTTTTCTGTATATATAGAATTTAAATTCACAAGATCTTTTTTTTTTCAATTCGTTTAAGCAAGTTTGATCCTATTATTAAAAGTATTGAGTATTGTTTTTTATAGTGTATTTTAAGAATTGATATAAATAAAAGAAAAAGAGGACCAACACGCTTCTTATGGCGCAAGGTAGCATTTTTTTTTTTACCTTTTTACACTGTTGATATGTGTTAGACATAGAATGATTTTTATCAAAATAAAAAGTTAACACAGTTTTTATCAATCATATTTGAATTTATTGCATTGAAAGCCATGACTTTTCACTGAATGTATGCAGAATGTTCAATATTATCTTGCGTAATCATAAAAGAAAATTAAAAGTAATGATGCTAATTCTCAAATATTACAAAAATATGTAAATTTAAAAATAAATGTATATTTTTTCTCAGTTCTTTCACAATATATTTGTTATATTGTGAAATATTATGATAGAATTCATGAAAGTCCATTTAATTTATATAAATTAGGACCCAGTATGAATAATGCACAAAATAACTTTCCTGGCTGCATGTAAGGTGGATGCAGGCGCGGATCCAGGAATTTTTTCCGGGGGGGGGGGGTCCACCCCTGTGCAAAAGAAAAAAAAATAATCCAACCCAGAAAAAAGAACGAAAACTCGCCAAAACGAAAACCTATTTCGTGGTTGTGGTGGTGGGGGAGAGGGGGGGGGGGAGATAGCCGTTGACTTCTAATGCTCCCAACCTCCGACTGTTTATTCCAGTTTAACACAAATCCGCGTTTTCCAGGGAGGTCTGCGTATTTTAGGGGTGGGGGGGGTCCAAGATCGTTTTTTACTTGCTTTAGCATATAATTTTATAATCTTGCAAATTCCAGGGGGGGGGGTCCGACCCCCCAACCCCCTCTAGATCCGCGCATGGGATGCTTAACATAACAATTATTTAAATACTTCGAATAAAAGAAAAAGAACGTTTCAGTCCTTTCGCCACCATATATACAATGTAGTTTCTCACCGAATGCTTTCGGTATGGTATTTTATCATTGGGCTATAATTGAATATAATTTTAAAAGCATTGTAGAATCCAATTTATAATTGTGAGAACTTAAACATTCTGTAGTATTTATAAATGAATGCTCAAAAGCTCTGGAACGAACCTCTTTAAAGAGCACTCGTAGAATGATTTTTTTTTACTAAAGATAACAAAGCAAGTACAGTAACTTGAAAAACAGATGACAGTCTACGATTACAAAGCATATTTTTCTTTAACAATAGGCAATTGAAAATACCGTTTAAATATTTAATACGCTGAAAAAAAAATTGACCGTTGATGCTGTACCATGTAACAGATGTGTAACACGACTTTAATTGTTACTGAAGATGCACTTTATTGAGCAAGGATTGTATCTAACTATCGCTTTGTGTCTACACTTCAATAAATTATTTGATAGTCGTCATCACATCAGAAACATCGAAAAGAAATATGTAATAAAATATTTACATCAAGTATTTTCAGTTCCAAAAATGGAGCACCAATCATATTTTATTGACAGAATAATTAATGCAATATGAGAACAATACCAAACAAGCTGCATTAATTGTGATCGTGTGTTGATGAGTCTAAATCATTCTGCTTCTTACAGTGAGGGAAGATGGATTCCTTGCGATTGTTCCTATTGCTGATCATCACTATAGGAGATAGTCTATCAGATCCAGAGTTTTGGAGCCAGGAGCCACTGACACGTGCACTGCAATTAACGTACTCGGAGTCAGTGAACGAGACCGTGGATTTTGTGAAATTTACTGCGGACAATCTTTTTCCTGCGCTTCGGGGTAAAAGTTTAGGTACAGTAAAACTCAGTATTCCAAGACTGGGCAGTATGACGGTTAATGATAACCAAAAGTATGATTCAAGATCTAACTGTGAGGGGTTCTTTACTTCGGTGTATGGAAAGGAAACTGAATTAGACATGACAGACAGTGAAATTTCTAAACTGTTTGTGGATAGAATTCAAGCAGGACTAACTATCTGTACGTATGTGGTCAAGTCTAACAACACGGCCGTTTCGCTGGCATATGGACTCCCAACTTTGGTCATCTATTTAACTGGTAGGAAGATTTTTTAAGAGATTCCAATCCATCATGTCAAAAAGCTTTGTGTTAATTTTCCTGGTTAAAGCATGTGCATTAAACTTAATCGTACACCTTCACGTAGATAATTGATCGACGATTTTTTAAATGTATATTTCAAGTATATATACCGTATTGGAGAACAGTTTAGAGGATCGGTTAAAAAATTCATCATTTAATGAGTACATTAAATCAAATATACTAAAAACAATTCTAAAATCAATTTTTATACCAATATAATTTGATTTGCGTTCATCATATACTAGTATAGTATATATATAATTGGAGAAAAAACAGAAAAATTAATACAAAGAAACTATTATCTGAAGATTTCGAATTTGTTTGATTTTTTTAAATTTTCACAATGAGAAATCTTCAATAAATAAATTGAGGGACCTAGTACAATGGATGGGAATTTCTGATATGTCCCTTACCAACAAACTTTGGTATTTTTCACATCATGGCCTATACATCTGTTAGGTATCTGCCCATTTTGGGTGATGCAATAGAACTGATCTTCCTCCCTTTATAGGTCTGGCACCAGGGTAAAGGTCATAAATTGTCTATCCAGGTTATGGATTTATTTTACTTTTCGGCATTTTTCCAATGCTAGCTTTACTATAACCATAACAATTTTAGAGAAGTTTTCAAAGTGATGAATCTGTTATTTTTAACCTAAGAGAAGAAATCAACGCGCGAGCGTTATTACATGTATGAGTGAGTTGCGTCCAGTAGTTTTGTAAATTATTCTGAAAAAGAAAATGAAGCCTTTATTAATGGCCATAAGAAATTAATGGACCAAATACTCTGATCAATAACCATGGTTTTACTTGGTAATAATAAGATACATGTACTGCCGGAGTTGCACAAATAGCTCTATCTACAAAGGACAAGCAAAAAAAAATCCCTCTGGTTGAGTAAAAATGGCCTAATCTGAATTGAGTTTCTTTAAAACTTCTCTTATTTAATTTATAGAGCATAATTATACTTACGTTTTATTTATTTCTGTTTTTATATCTGTTTCATATCGGAATCTTTTACTAGAGAAAGACGTCAAGGATAAACGTGATGAGCATATACTTACATTTTATCAATGGATCTTTTGATTATAGCTGAATATTTAAAAAAAAAAAATAGGTTTTCAAAATCAGTTTCTGAAATACTTAGAACAGGCACTGAATCAACAAGTCTTATAATGAAGGTTTATCAGTACCGTAGGTCTTTTTCCTCTTACACACATTAAAATTAACTCCTTGGTAGCTACGTTTAGTTAAATAATTTTAAAGAAATATATTAATTATAAACTTATTTACTTTTATATTACAGGACCAAGAACTAGTATTTTATGTTTTTGTCGCTTTCTACTACATGTAAAAACATCAGTCATTTTATAATTCATAGATTTAATTGGTGATCTAACTTTTTTTTGCGTTTTTCCTACCACTCCCTCTGAATTAGACCCCACATGGTCGACATCACCCTGCCAAAACAACACCGAGCCTGTTTGTGACGGTACGTGCACTGTAACAGAATTAGTAGTAATATGATATCTTTATTTTCAGAATGTATTTTCATGAATGGGTCAGTTGTAAGTGAAGTGTACATTATGTTTTTATTAGGCTTCAATAGCTCTGCAGTAATTATGATGTCATCAACAATACTTGGAAGTGGTAAATGCTGTAGAATGGATCTGAACATCACAAATGGTACAGGGATCGTCCGGGCTTTTATAAAAACCAACGGAACTGACACGTTGCGTCAACTAGCATTCAGAGAATCTAATACTGGGTAACTTTTTTTTTTATCAATGCAAGTTAATGTCACGTACGATTAAAATCCTATTTATAACAAGGACTTTTCATTTTCAAAAAAACGATAACAGCCTGGCATCGAATTCATTTTTTAAGTAGACTGTGTATTTTCAAATGTTTACAATGCATAGAGATAATGCTGAGAAGTTTTACTTCCAATTGAAATTATGTGATAGAAAAATTGTAGTAAACAACCAAATTTTCAAATCCCCCTAGACCAAAATGATATGCATGTTGATGGTCTGCAAATTGTTTTAAATAAAAAATATCAGCATACTCCTTACTTTATTAGAGAATTTCAATATGCATGCATTCAATCCTTATCACAAGGTTTACTCGGTAACTAAATTTCATGTCAACAGTCGGTATCATTACAAATTGTATTGTCAATTAGGATCACTTGAATTCTGCTTTTAAAAAGTAGATATTCCATTTATTGTAGAAGTGAAAGCACAAAGAAATTTTCTTTCATTGGAAGACAGAGGTACAATTTTCAGATCATTGTTGTCTATGATGCCGATATTTCGACTAGTTTAAAGATAGTTTGGAAGAATTGCATGGCCATTGAGAGAGGTAATTGACTATCAATTCTAATAAGATAATTGCAGAACTACTTGCAAAGCATATTGGAGAGAAAAACGTAATCGTTAAAAGCAGAATAGTGAAGTAAAATGACAAAAATTTTTATTTATTTTGCATCGAAAGATTCACGAGGGAATTTTAGACGAACATTAGAGATAACTCAATAAACTTTTAATTATTTTCATGAAACCTGCGTCAGGTTAGATTAAAGAGAGATATGTGAAAAATAACGATTTCTAAAGAAAAAAAATTAAAGTAAGATATACCAGGTAAATTGAATTGTCAGAATGCATCAGAGAGCTTGCTGGGTAGAATTTTTTTTTGGGGGGGGGGGGGGGTTGAAAAGTGAAAATTCCACCCCTTGATAATTTTTTCCAAAGATTCATCGAAAAGGCGTCACATGTTAAATTTACTTTTGGCTTCGAAGAAAAGAGATTGTGTAATTGTGTGACCTGAACAGAAAGGAAACATCAATATCGATAAAATGCGAAAGGGCTAGGTAGTTCACTATCGCACCGTCGACCATCGAAAATGGTTCGATGACGCGATGAGGCGAAGAATGTAACAATCATTTTCGCTGAAACTCTAATTGGTTTGTTTGTTAAACATCTGTTCAAAATATTCCACTCATATAAAATGCTACCAATGTTTGGTACTCGGCGCCATTGAGGAGTGAGGGATCTTTTTGTGCCGAGCACTTACTGCGACTCAGGACCTCGGCTTATACGCTCTCATCTAGGGGACTAGTCTCCACATCCCGGAGTGGGAGTCGAACCAAAAACAGTTTAAATGTAAAGCAGAGGCACTAATCATTATGATACGCGGGTAACAATATATGATCCAATCAACTCTGCGATTGACCTAAGTCGATAACAGAAGCAACTTTTCCGTCGCCAAGCGTTTGGCAATTCGAAGTGAAAGTTGCATATCTTTCAGATCCATATCACGTCAGACGTTGGTACCATTAATCCCTTATTCAAGTTACTGCTCTGTTGGCCTAAGTGCTGAATATAAGTTTAAAATTAAAAATAAATTCTTTGATATATAGTGACACATCTGTGTGTAGTAAAATAAATTTCAATACAGAAGGCTCAATATGAGTATGACTGGTCGACGGGGATCTCTCCGAGACACCTTTTCCCACTTTGAAAGTCCTATCTTTCAGGTTAAAAAAAAAATTAAAATCTGATTACAATGAAGGCTATTCATAATATTTAATTATTTATGAGTAATTCGGGGGTCATTGTATATTTCGTTTTGTGATAAGCAATATATATATATATCCTTTATTGTATGCAACTTTTAACAAAACATATTTTTGATACATGAAATGAAATATTATTTTGAAAAAAATGGACATATATTTTTATTTATGTATGCTTTTTGTTCTGTTCCTTTAAAAGTCGTTTCTTTTTTTCATTTTTTGATAATAAACCAATTCCTTTTATGAACAGTGATTCATACAACCCTTCCCCTCTGGAGTTACAATACATCGGACTTGACAATATATGACGAATTCTGTGACTGTAATAACACCTTAATACAGGTGTTCAGTTGTCAGGGTCCCCAGAAAGGTAAGAGAGAGAGAGAGAGAGAAATCGAGAAAGAACGAAGTTGTTTTATGTGTCATGCAATATTAATAGAGGCAATTATTGAGTGCCATTCTCATTTTTCTGCACAAATTGATCCAATACATTTCATCGTTTCGATTCCATATTTGTTTAAATGATATGATTAATTGACTCCATGCAGAAATATAATTTCAGTGATGTAATTGAGTTATTCCTTTTTATCTTGTATAGAAGGACATCTAGTTTAGGTCAACCGGGATAAAATAAATGTATAATAGTCAAATAAATAATTCATTACCCATTTAATACTACAGAATTGCCTCATGCAATCATGTCTGATTTTAAAACCCCATTTTAACATGCTATCATAAAATAATTATGGAAGAATCGTTTCACGACTTCAAGATAATTTCTGATATACTTGGTTTATAGTAAGTGAATATATTCTGGCTATTAAAACGGTGGTATACATGTGATTGTTATGACATTTCAGGTTTAGTATTAAGAAATGCTGATCAGTTGACGACAATAACATCCAATGTAATGACCAGCTTCAATCCCCAATGTCACCTTTCCATGGTGATAACCACAACCTTTAAAACATACATAGGGGTAGCCATCTTGTCCTTCAACCGGACTCGCTTTCCTGTTTTCCGACAGAACCGAGATGGAGAGTAAGTAAAGTGTTCTTGACTAGAAAAAAATTAACCAGTTTACAATTTCAGTATTGATTTTTTATTTTAGAAAGTTTTATAGGTAAACATTTACATCTCTTTTAATTCAAATAACACCAACACTTATGTATTGCAGCGTGTTTGGCAAACTTTCAAATAAGCAATTCTTTGTAGATGATATTGCTTTTCGAAATGTTGACGTTTTTGACCATCTCTTTGTTACAAAGTTTGTTTTAATGTAAAATTTGTATCTTTTAATTGATCAAGAAGAAGGTGTGGTTATAGCTTTATTATGCTCTAAAAATGTAATGTCATCAATAAGTTTGAAAACTGGCTTTAATATTAGTTAAGTAAATGACTGTGATAAATCAGGAAAGAATTTGGCATGAAGATTTCCCATTCTGCAAATATGACGTCATTTATGTGACGTATTTCTCTATTTTAAAAGGAAAAAGCCTTAAAATGGCCCATTTCAAGGGTAATTTTCCTTTAGAAAATAGTGTCCACAGCCGTCGCGCACTTTAATTTTTTTATATGTTGTGCAAAAAGTCAATATAAAATCACATATCTCAAAATCTTTGTTGGCGATGCCTGTGGACAATATTATCTGAAAGAAAATTCCATTGAAAATTGGTGTCTTCTGCAACTTTTTAAGAAAATACGGGAAAATGCATATGTTTATGACGTCACAATTAGCATTTAAAAGCACGTGTGAGAAAAATGATTTGTATGATTTTTCTGCATGGGATTTCAATGATTCAGAAAGCACGAGTTTTTATCTTTAACACCAGTTTCACTCTTTAGAAAATCACAGGGCAAGATTTGTATGGAAACCATACCTTGTTTTTAATTTGTACCTTAGTAGCCCACGTGGCGCCATAGTTAGAGAGTCTGCTCTAGAGTCGCGGAGTGAGGAGTTCATTCTCACGTCCTTTCGACGCGGGTTCGAATCCCACAGTAGGACGTTGAGACCGATCCTATAAACCGAGGTTCTAACGCAGCACAGTTAATGTTACAGTAAGGAGGCGGGGCCTAATTTATACGGGAAATGTTTACTATGACGTCACACACAATATTAGGTCTTCAAAATACCACAAAATGAAATTTTTTGCTATTTAAAACAGCTGGATAGCTGTAGACTACTTAAACACTTACTATTACATGCAGTTTTGTCGTTTGTTAAATCCCATACAACAATATATAAACGATTCATCGATCGCAATGCACTTGTCAATGTGACGTCATCTTGCAAAAATGACGCAGTTTGTCACAGTGAGAGGCTGATCAAGTCACATTTTGTACAATGAAATTGTCTTTTGTTCTCAAATAAAATATTATTATATAAATGCAGTTATATAAAAGGCCATTCAACCGAGGCGCAGCCGAGGTTGACAATGGTTTTCGAGGGGTGAAAATTTTCAATGTTACACTCAACTACATGCTATATTTATTATATTATATAATGTTTTATACAAATACATATTCTACAGCCAAGTGCGCATAAATTCCGTGTGTCTTTTGTTCTCAAATAAAATATTATTATATAAATATTGCATGTAGTTGAGTGTAACATTGAAAATTTTCAATGTTACACTCAACTACATGCTATATTTATTATATTATACTGAATGTTTTATACAAATACATATTACAGTGAACCGTGCGCGCATAAATTCCGCGCAGTCTTTTGTTCTCAAATAAAATATTATTATATAAATATTGCATGTTTATAACATGAAAATTTTCCTCTAAAACCATTGTCAACCGAGGCGCAGCCGAGGTTGACAATGGTTTTCGAGGGGTGAAAATTTTCAATGTTACACTCAACTACATGCTATATTTATTATATTATACTGAATGTTTTATACAAATACATATTACAGTGAACCGTGCGCGCATAAATTCCGCGCAGTCGCTATTTTTTGGACACCACCCGAGTCAAAAATGTTTGTTGCTACGCAGGAGGGCGTGGCTTCATTATTCAGCGGGTAGTAGTGGTTTTTATCAAATGTTTCTCGACGAATCAGATTCAAGTAATTTACATGAAAGTATAATATTTGCAGTTATATAAAAGGCCGTTAACTTAGATGCAATGTCTATTGTACTATTTTATTTATATAATGTCCGTATATTCTCCAGCCAAGTGATACTGTCGTGTGTTTGTAAATAAGGGAATCTTTATAGGTTCGCAGCACTTTTCACAAACTACACGTAGTGTTGAAAAGAATTATAAATTAAACTAAGATTTTTAGCTTGGTTATGCCCTTGTAATATTTGGAATTTATAAATGACCTCAAAACTGCAAGTATGATTGCTACAATCATGTGACTCCGACATCACGTGACAAATCTAAATAAACAATTCTAAATGTTTTCAATATGTAGATTTGAGCCACGTTTTATTTTTTTTTTATATCAGTGAAGTCCTAAAATGAATTGCCCATCCTAATAAAGTATTTATTTTTTATCTTAAAAAATCGCCAATATTTCCATTTGTAACCTTAACTGTGCTGCGTACGTCGCAGTATAGGTGTTGGCACGAAAAAGATATCTCATTGCTCAAAGGCCCTGAATGCAAGTAAAGGTCAAAATTTGCAGCTCTCCACTGGCAATTTGTGGTCTCCTTATGAGTGTGAATTAATTCTTGAGAGGGACTCTTAAACATGCAGCATACAAAAAACAAAACATGACATACTATCCTGTTGATAGCTAGGTATCACCTTTACATATATCGACGATATACTGTCAATTAACAGTGGTACATGTAACTTCCCTTCCATTCTTATATCCCGTGGGGATCCGGGTTAGAATAGGTCCTCAGTACCCCCTTGCTTGTCGTAAAAGGCGACTAAATGGGGCGGTCCTTCGGATGAGACCGTATAAACCGAGGCCCCGTGTCACAGCGGGTGTGGCACGATAAAGATCCCTCCCTGCTCAAAGGCCGTAAGTGCCGAGCATAGGCCTAAATTTGCAGCCCTTCACCGGCAATCGTGACGTCTCCATATCAGTGAAATATTCTGGAGAGGGACGTTAAACATTATACAATCAATCAATCCATTCTTATGTCGATACGATATATCACGATGAGCTTGAGATAAAAGGTGCCACAAAGTCTGACACATCTGGTTCATATTTGGATACATGTATTTTACTTCAAAAAGACGTTAATAGTAATCTAACAACAAAGCTCTATGATACAAGTGATGACTTTAACTTTACAATCGTAAACTCCCCTTACTTAAATACAGTAATATAACTTCATCGCCTGCATACGGAGTTTATATATCTCAGTTGATACGATACGCAAAAGCATGTGCGTATGTACAATATTTAAACGAGATAAGTAATTGACAAACAAGAATATCAGTTTAAAGTCATTGTTTCGGAAGTTCTATTCCCTTGTCCATACCTGCCCCCATTTGTCACTATCACCACGCACTAAACATACTAAACAAAAATGTTTCAGCACTGTTAATATACCAAAAACATTTCCTCGCACCTTTGCCTCTCTGGTAGGAAGACTTGCTTACAATAAAAATTTATTGACTGTTTCTTAGTTGTAATTTTAAATCAACATCCACTAGCATTATTCCCTATCTTGTTGATATTAGTCTGTAATTGATTTACATTCTTCCCATCTTTAAATAGTCTTTATACGCACTATCGCCGGGAATACAAGATTCCAATCGGCCATATTGAAGAAGAGTTTCGTGTACAAATCGACCTCCAGAGGCTGCAATTAAATTCTCTACTTGGTCTGGAATCTGCAAAGCTGATTAATTGTACGGAAACATCATCTTCAGGTATAAGGCTTTAAATTAAACTTTATCATTCAGAAATACATCCGGGGATTTCCAAAAGTTATTAACAAGAGATTTCTGAGATTTCATCTTAATTCGAAGATAATGTATTTACATCTTTGCCTCGAGTAATAGATGTGATTTTGATCTTTTTAATACAGGGATTCAGAAAGTAGTGCATATACATGTACTAGTATATTATTATTACACGTGTAAGGCCTATTTCTATTTGTTTGCATAGATTCATAGCTTTCATAAGTTAATAGTATTCAGGTTGATTTGTCATTAAAATCATGATCATGAAACATTACTTTGAACTTTATAACCGTGTTTTCTTCAAAGAGTTCAACTTAAGATAACAAACCATTTACATGTATATTGTTGAAAACAGTTTTAGAACATTTTGAAAGTGTTTAATATTGTGCGTTTAAAAATATGCATTTTAGCCATGCATATAATTCATTATACAAATTATTCCATGGATATTGCATAAATATTTTATTTCAGTATTTTTGGCCTCTTTATATCTGTGCCGTCTCTATGTCATGTTTTAAATTTTGAATTTACCGGGTGGCAGTGAATACAAGTTTCATGTTGTTAATTTTGTATTTACTACCACCCTGTAAATTCAGAATTGCGCGCCTTGAGAATAATTTTGTAAGCGCTGTGCTTTTTGTCATACGCGGAAAGATATCTTATATCTTCAGAAAAGCCTGAAGATTTACATATTTTTAAAATTGCATGAAATTCACTAACCATTTGGAAAATGGTGCTTGACATTAATCATTTTAAAACAAAAGTTGTCTACGACTACCTGTAGATGAAGTAAACTGCTCTTCAACCGAGTACAAGTGTAAAACTGGTGTTTGTATCGAGAAATGGAAAAGATGTAACCTTGCAAAAGATTGTTACCATGGGGACGACGAGATGGATTGTGGTATTTATTTTTTCAAACCTTTGTTGATTTTTGTACAAGTATACCGATTTTTAATATATGTATACCTAGGTTTTATATTGCAGACATAATAAGTTAACATGTTTTATTTAAATTTCTCATTTCCATACAGGGGAGAAAGTTGGACTGTGGAAATGTGATTTTGACGTAGCTTCCAATAAGACGTGCGGTTTTTTGCAGTACGAGAAAAATCAGTGTGGAGAATTTAGAATAACACGGGGAAGCTTGTTTGGTAACCCGGGACCAGAACATACTAACATGTATGATAAAGGTCAGGAATCTAAACATGGTGACTATGTACAGTATAAAGTATAAAACTATAAATGGTCTGGATCTTTACGTGAAACACCATTAATTATAATTTATAAAGGATCAGTTCTATTAACTCTAGGACTCATTCTTGCAATTATGTATCCATTTTATATTCCATACAATTCTAAATTCAAACCAAAACTATATCCCTGTTGTTTTCCTTATGAACATTTTGAGATTTGATGACAAATTTTACTTTACAGGAGATATGCTTTACTTCGAAAGGAAATTTTGTCGTAACTCGTTTTCTGCAGAAATCAAAACAAAGAAATTCAACTATGCTTTGTCAAACCTGCAAGGAGATAAATCGAAATGTACTGTAAGTTTATTGAAATATGCACCGAAAGTATATAAATATGATGTATTATATACTATAAATAAAATGATTCCAGTGCGATCTATAATTAGTTACATGTAGTCCATGAGCCAGGTCATGAATTTTTCGGTATCGGTACCATCTTGGGTGAATAATTTTCATAGTTATTTTTTGAAGGACATACATCTCTACCTTCAGACAATGTATGATAGCATTCAATTGATTGTGGTTTTAATGATGTATCAACCGTTTATATACACCAACCCAACTTGTTTGTTCTCTCAGCTGTGTCTTTGAAAGAAGGTTGGTTTTTCAATATTCAATTTCTATCTTAATTTGAATATTTTCTTGAAAATTCTTTTGAATGCAGACCAAGCCTTTACCCTTTTCAATTATCATTCAATATTGGCTCTGTAATGAGCCGTCTAAAATATATAGGAATATAATTCTACCCTTGATCCTAAAAGTGGAATATGCGATTTTGAAATTTTAATCAGCTGAAAGAAATTACACACATCAAAAACATATTGCACGGTCATTTATTTAAAGAATTTTTATCATGTATTAGTATTTTAAAATAACATTTCAGTAACAAATATATATATAATATGATTTCATAGTTAATCGTTATCCCTATCCTAAAATGAAAATTGAAGAAAAATTCCCTTGATTTATCCTGTGTGTATATTCTTTACTTAACAAAGATATTGTGAATTTGTCAGGTCTCAAGTAGAGCCTTTACGTAAAATGTTTTATTTATTTAATCTCAAGCTAAACCATGGTGATAATGGACACTTGTATGTTCTTCTTCTAAGTTAAACGTGCAATTTGTTACAGATTTTTGACATCAAAATTAAGCAACATATGTGCACGGTTATTTGTTTCAATATATATGTGCTTTGTGGGCAGTGTCTCACGACCTGCAATGGCCTGACGCCCCTTCCCTCCACTAGTCCGGGTAGAAGGAACCCGTACCCTCTTAAGGGAGTTTCCTGTTGGAGACTCTCTCTACACTCTCTACACAAAGCTCTGAAGGGTCTCAACCCCCCGTTGATTGAGGGCTTGCCTACCTACTACGAATGTAAAGACTGTGCACCGGCGGACTCTGCGGAGGAAACCGTCATGGTTCAATGGAGAAGGCAGACACAGCAAGCACCGTAGGATGCTTGGAGCAAGACAAGGAGCATATATCACGTCTAGGGGTAATCCAATGCATTTGTCTTCATTTCCAGTCGTCCTGATATTGGTCTTGCCACTAGATCTAAATGTTGCGGGCGAGAAAGTGAGGTTGGCGACACGCAACCCTTCTTCACTTTAATCAAACTCATCACGCAAGTCATTGTTCATCTTCCATCCCTTCTATCATCCACCCCAAAGCCCTGTGGCGACAGGTGAGGAACGAAGATGACAGGTGCGGGTTCACTGGAAGTTGCTAGTCGCGGACCTGCACACAGGCGGCACAGGCCATAGGATTGCTCTTCACCGACCGGAGCAGCGTTGGAGTTCGGCAGCCACCTTTGCGACTGAGCAACTCTCTTTAGGAACGCATTGCACCAACTATGGCAAAGAGGAGCCGATTAGAAAAGGTATCCCAAACATTGCCTGCTCCACCTTTCTCTAGCCAGTGTACCGCGGCTGATGGGGACCCTACACATGCGATCGAAATAACAAAGAAAACAAGAGGAAAACAAGGATCATCCCATTGAACCTTGGATCATGGAATATTTGAACGCTTCTCGACAGAGAAATTACCGACAGACCCAAGAGATGCACAGCACTGATTACATGCAAACTTGCGAGATATTGCATTGACATCGCGGCTCTCAGTGAAACCAGGATGGAGGTGACAAGGAGAGACGAGAAGCTGGCGTAGGATTTGCTATAAAGACGACGCTTGCTGGCAAGCTAGTCGGCGTACCAAAAGGAGTGAACGACCGCCTGATGACGATGAAACCCCCTCACTCGAGGAAAATTCGCCGCTATTGTCATCGCATATGTTTCTACCCTCACTAACCTAGAGGAGGCTAAAACAAGTTCTATGAGAACCTCCAAAATTTCACCAACACTGTCCCCAACACCGACAAGCTCGTTATTCTTGGTAACTTTAATACGAGACTTGGACGTTACACCACCACGGAGGAAAAGTGTGATTGGGAAACACGGAGTGGGCAAGTACAACAGTGACGGTCTTTTGCTTCTTCAGACCTGCGCTGAACATGGCCTTCTCACCACTAACCGTTTTCTGCCTTCCCATCTGTAACAAGGCGTCATTGATGCACCCTCGCTCAAAGCACTAGCATCTCATTGACTACGTCATTGTCAGGAAGAGAGACAGACAGAAAGTTCGTTTGTTCACCAAGGCTTTGTACGGTGCGGAGTGCTGGACAGATCATGGTCTCATCGTCTTTAAACTTCAACTCTCATCTTCCGCATCAAACACAGGAAACGTCCTCAGGGGATTGAGACTTCAAAACGTCTCAACGTTGGCAAGCTCAAGTTGCCTTCCACCTCATTACTTTGCTGACGCCCTGGAAGAACACCTGAAATCCATCCTGCTGGATGACCATGACTTGGAAGCAGCACACTCCGTAATACAGAGTAAAATACAGCCTTCGAGTGTCTTGGGCCCTTCACAAAAACCACTGGATTGATGAAAACCATGCTGAGATCACGCAGCTTCTAGAGGACAAACATCGCGCTTACTTGTACAAGGCTCATATGAATGAGCCCACCTCCACAGCAAAAAGACGCTCTGAGGAACGCTCACAGCCCAGTACAGCAATAGCTTCGGGATGTTCGAGACTCCTGGCTGAATGCCAAGGTTGACTAGATCCATCGTTACGCAGAATCTCATGACAGGAAGAACTTTTACTATGGACTGGGAGAAGTCTTCGGGCCAACTCCATCAGGCTCATCCCCTCTCCTCAGTAATGACTGGTTAACACTCATGACAGAGAAGGAAAAGATACTCTACAGGTTGGCGGAACATTTCAATGGCGTTCTGAACCGCCCTTCTACCATCAACGACGAAGCCATCAACCAACTGCCCAGGTTCCCATCAACCAGTCACTGGACGCCGTTCCAACGCTGGATGAGATCAAAAAAGCAATTAATTTGCTGTCAACTGGCAAAACACGTGGTGGATACTCCATCCCAGCTGAGATTTACAAAGAATGAGGCATGGCTCTAGTCGAAAAGCTCCTTCATCTGTGCGAGGATTCGCCTGACCAGTCACCTCTGAGCACACTGTCCAGGTCAACCCCCTCCTTTCAAAGAAGAGACAGTGGTCATCGTCGTCATCGACCGACGAATAACTAAACTAGTATATGTGTGTTGGTACTCATCTTTTTCGTTATACAAATTTATGAAGTACAAGTAATTGTTGAATAAAAGTGGTAAAAATATGCAATTTTTGTTAGAATAAGGCTAGTAACTCAGTTAATGCTCTTTTAATATGTTCATCATATGTCTGAGTAATTCTGGTAGAACTTTCTATCACGGTTGGCAACTGTGTGACAAATGCTTTGCAGGTTGCAAATATATTTAGCTCAAAATACCTAATTTGAGTAAATAAAGGGCAATAACTGTGTCTCCAGCATTGAAGCCACAACAGATTTGATGCTATCATACATTTTCTCACTAGTTAGGGACATACCTTACCAAATATCACTATAAAGTTTATTCACCCAAAATGGTACCGACCACCCCCAGTGGCTCATGGACTAATGTTCTTCCTTTCCTTTTACAGATCACGGTAGCTAGTAAAGGGGAAAACTCGTGTTGGTGGAATTTATACCTATGTCAGGAGTCCTGCTTAAAACGGTTATTTCGAGGCAACACAACAAAAGAATGGCGAACAGATGTTGTATCACTTCCTGTACAAACGGGAAGGTAATATTTTCATTATTCTTGTTGACTAAATGAGAAAGATATAAACCACATGTCTGTATACATATATATTTATTCATCCGTGAGTTCGAATATTGTCGGCAGTTTTCCATTATACGTATCATTTCAAGTACAATTTATATCTCAAAAAACGACACACAAATCATAATTTGTTCAAGGCTCACTTTAAACATGACTTTAAATCAGACTTAGGTAATGGTTATGAGAAGAATATGCAATAAACCACAGTTAAATTTTAATGAATTTCATCTATTGAATGAAATTTTTCAAATGTAAGGAGCATGCATTCACTCTAAACTACTGAAGTAGTTCTAAAATTATGCCAGAAAAAGTCAGTTTAATGCATTATTTATGAACATAAATGTTTCATGATTTTGCTATATTATTTTTAGCTGAAAACTGAATGCAGTGCACTTGAGTTTTAATATCTGTTAAATGGCACATAATTAATTTATGAAAAAAGTTGGATAAAAACATTAATAAATTTATAACTAATAATTCATAGACTCAAGGGAAATGAAACGTCAACAAAAATGTATTATTGACGAAGGTGTTGTAATGGGAGAACAGATTATTGTGTTAATAGTTCATCGATCTTTCTGAACATTTCAGTAGAAAATTGTTTCTTGCCAAATTGAGAGAAATTGTCGATCTCTTGAGAAGGAATATGTAAATGTATCCAAAAATGTGTAGAAAATAGACTAACGATAAATATTCGTTAACGTACTTTCGAATAAAATAATAAAGCGTTGCAAACTTACACTTTATTATTAATAGGAAAAACAACAGTTTAACACAGTATGCAATCCATGGACTTTTGCGAGAAGCGCTGACTTTTACAGTTGACGGCTTACTTTTACACCAGGACAATGTACGGAAGCTCTTTAACGATATTACAAAATTATTTACAGAGTCAGTTTTTCATGAGTCTGAGATTCAAATCTTGTAAATTGATGTTTTTTCTTTTTAAAAAACAATATCGAGTAATGCATATCCTAAAGAACTGTTCGACATATTCTCCTCATATAAGAATATCATTTGATTTACAAATAACATCTTAGAGCAATATGAGCTGCAACTTTGATTGCGGAATTTTTTGTTGCAAAATTGTAAATAACTATTTCAATGACAGATAAAAATAACGTTTAAAAACTTCTTTTGTACATCTTGGCGCACAACATAGCATACACCCCGCATGTTGGGATATACATGGTGTATCATGATAACACATTTTAACAGCAAAATAAAATTTTCAAAAATGCAGCTCAAATTGCTTTAAAATTTTATTTTAAGCTCTTTTTAGCTCACCTGAGCCGAAGGCTCAAGTGAGCTTTTCTGATCACATTTTGTCCGTCGTCCGTCCATCTGTCCGTCTGTCTGTCCGTCTGTAAACTTTTCACATTTTCGACTTCTTCTCAAGAACCACTGGGCCAATTTTGACCAAACTTGGTACAAAGCATCCTTGGGTGAAGGGAATTTTAAATTGTTAAAATGAAGGGACATATCCCCTCGCAAGGGGAGATAATCAAGGAAAGACAAAAATAGGGTGGGGTCAATCTTCTTCTCAGGAACCACTGGGCCAGTAAAGCTGAAACTTATGTGGAAGCATCTTGGGGTAGTGTACATTCTAAATTGTTCAAATCATGACCCCCGGGGGAAGGGCGGGGCCACAATGGGGAATCAAAGTTTTATATAGAAATATATAGGAAAAATCTTTGAAAATCTTCTTCTCAAGAACCACTGGGCCAGAAAAGCTGAAACTTTTATGGAAGCATCCTGGTATAGTGTAGATTCTAAATTGTTCATATCATGACCCCCGGGGGAAGGGCGGGGCCACAATGGGGAATCAAAGTTTTATATAGAAATATATAGGAAAAATCTTTGAAAATCTTCTTCTCAAGAACCACTGGGCCAGAAAAGCTGAAACTTATGTGGAAGCATCCTGGTATAGTGTAGATTCTAAATTGTTCAAATAATGACCCCCAGGGGATGGGTGGGGCCAGAATGGGGAATCAAAGTTTTATATAGAAATATATAGGAAAAATCTTTGAAAATCTTCTTCTCAAGAACCACTGGGCCAGAAAAGCTGAAACTTATGTGGAAGCATCCTGGTATAATGTAGATTCTAAATTGTTCAAATAATGACACCCAGGGGAAGGGCGGGGCCACAATGGGGAATCAAAATTTTATATAGAAATATATAGGAAAAATCTTTGAAAATTTTCTTCTCAAGAACCACTGGGCCAGAAAAAGTGAAGCTTATGTGGAAGCATTCTGGGGTAGTGTAAATTCTAAATTGTAGGAATCATGACCCCCCGGGGGAAGGGCGGGGCCATTATAGGGAATCAAAGTTTTACATAGAAATATATAGGAAAAATCTTTGAAAATCTTCTTCTCAGGAACCACTGGGCCAATAAAGCTGAAACATATGTGCCCATGGAAGGATCATGGGGTAGTGTAGATTTCAAAATGTCTAAATTATGATCAGTGGGGTAGGGTGGGGATGCATTATGTATAACAAGGGTGAAATCTGGTAAAGAACAGAATGGTCAAAGGTTCTCAGGTGAGCGATGTGGCCCATGGGCCTCTTATTTCTATAATCAGTTCGGCGTTTTATCTGTAAAAAAAAAATCATTCATAAAGATGTATAAAAATTAAATTTGATTAAACAGTGGGCATAGTGTTAACTTTCATTTAGGAATTTAGGAAGTTCCAGATAATCCTTGATCAGATTCGTGAAAGCTTTGTTGCTGTTTGCCTATCTTACTAAATGTGTTTTTAGAATGCTTTGTTATGATGTTAATTTTGATTTCTTTATTATCATCCAAGTTACTTTGTAAAGATCAAGGCAAAAGAGATGTGCGATTGGATGGCTATAGATGATCTGTTCTTTTCACCAAGTTGCTTTGCCCCAGGTAATGTCCATGTTCAAACTAATTCGATAGCCAGAGCATACTGAATAAAAAAAAAGACAGACAAAAAGAACTTTGATTACTCGATCGTTATTTATACAAATATCACTCAAGAATTATGAAATTTATAATTTTCCTTACTGCATGTACATCGATTTTGTTTGAATCGATCTTATATAATTACAAGAGAAGGAGAGAGAGCCATGCGGTTCTTATTATTATGTTCCCCAAACGAAGTTGGGGAACATATTGTTTTTACTCTGTTTCTTATTATTATTATTATTTTTCTTCTTCTTCTTCTTCTTCTTCCTGGGTACTTTCTTGTCCCGGAGTGATCTTGTAAACTACACATCCGACCTAGGTAAAACCTTTTTAGGGTCAGAAGGCATGTTATCTAGATTTGCGGAACGAAGGTCATTTTGCGCGCACGTGCTTGCAAGAGCGTGCACGTGCAACACGTGAAATGACCGATTTAATTGATATAGGCGTAACTTTTTACCTTTTTAATGAAATGCTTTGAAACTCATAATATAAGGATATATTAGTAGCATAGATAATAATACATGGTCAAAATAGCAAGATTTCACGCGCATGCACGTGCGCTTCGCTCTGATTGGCTGAAACTAAAGTCTCAATATCTTTCTTGTTTTTTGACGAAATCCTTTGAAATTTTGAACATAGCCATGCATTAGGATATCCTACAATATGATATATAGCAATTATCATGAAAACACGTGCATGCACGTGCGCTGCAATCTGATTGGCTTAAACTTTAAATAGCTATAACTCCCTTGGTTTTCAACCAAACAGGATGGAATTTGGAACATAGATAGATATAATAGATTTCTACAAGTAGGTATGGTCATCATGCACATGCATGCACGTGCGTGTACGTGCGCTGCAATCTGATTGGCTGAAACTTTAAAAATCTTTAACTCCCTTGGTTTTCAACCAAACGGGGTGGGATTTAGAACATAGATAGATGTAATGGCAGTAATGGACTTTTTCAAGAAGGTATGGTCACCATACTCATGTATGCACGTGCGTGCACGTGAAATGAGTAGAATCAAAAATACACTTGAATAAGCGTATTTTTAAATACTTTTAGATTAAATACTTTAATATTTAGTATTTAAAAATATATAGATTGTGTAGACAAGATGATATGGTCATTACGCACATGCATTCACATGCGCACGCGTGCAATGCTAAAATATGAATGAACTTGGTACACTTCTGGGTAAACGTTGTTTAAGTCTCAAATGCATTGAGTTTGTCTTATTTAATGAAGCTTACAGGGAATATGGCACCAAAAGGGAGTTGGGGAGCGTTTGGGGAACATCTGTAACGGTTCCCGTTACAATTAGCACTAGTTTTATGTGTATTTGATGTTATGACTACGTAATAAAATATCAGAATGTATCATTTCTGATTCTTCATTAGTTAAAGGAACGATTCGTCGGACGTATTGAACTATTGATATCCAACGGAATAAACTGTACAAACTGTAAAGTTACAAAACTAGATAAAATCTAGCGAAAGCGTGCGGAATTTAATTTTTATCACTGTTCTGATCAATTCGATTGATATACGTACATGTGCATGCGTCTTAAATTTTATATGTTATTTTCATTCGTATGTGGTATTCTGATATGTCCTCTAACTTATTAACCACTTAACAGCTTGCTTTGAGTACGATCAATTCTTGAATAGACAAATGATACGGATAAATTACTGTGACAGGGATTTCAACAACCTTGTTAAAAGTCGACATTTCTAAATATTGACTTTAACTTTAATCTATTACTAGGTTCTATTTTGGCTGACTTGTTTAATGCCAATGGCCAGATTTGTGTTTTTTTACTTAATTTACTATAGTCGGAAAGTTCCGTAACGGTTTGACTGATCAATACATAGGTTTTATTACGGCTATAACCGGTTCACAGGGGATACTTACTCCTCGTAGGCACCTGATCTCACATCTAGAATTTCCAGTAGTCCGGCTTTTATACCCTCTCCACATATTTGTATTGCTTATATGCCTATATATCAGATCGTCTACTGTTGCTTCTCTTCTTACTTTTTTAAACTTGAAAATATTAATTAATTGACCTTTTTTCCGTACATGTTAGCTTGTTATATGCCAAGAGCTTAAGAATGTTGGACGTGAAACACAAATTAAAGAAATATGACGGATATAATTCATCGTAATGATGGTGTGAACCACCTCCTTTATAATTACTTTTCACTTTTTATAGAGAACAGAGCTACGGATATGACCTGGTGGATTTCGATTATCGTTCCTGTTGTGTGTTTGATTGTGTTACTAGAAATTGCAGTGGTCTCTTGGGCAGGTTCGCCATATTTTCTGTGAAATAATTTTACTCCGTTTGTAATATTGGGAATTCTTTCATTTTGATCCAATTTATGAAGAACCGCATGTAGAAAATAGTAATTAAGAGAAGAAGGATAATTAAACACGACAAAGCAGAAAAGCCGAATTCTTGTTTTATTGTATAATCTGAGCATTGCTATTTGATAGACAGTTAAATGTAATAGATGCATTTCATGCACCATAATGATTTTATCTAAGAAAATTAAAGTATATATTTCCACTTCGTTTCCGGACAATTCTATATATATTCAAAGATTAATTTCTATTTACGAAGTAAGCCATGTCTTTATTGTCCTGTAACAGAATCACATAATAAGATGACTCGTAACTGATTTTAGATACATTTTTTCAGTATGCCAAAGGACTCTCTCTTCGAACAGAATCTATGACAGGTTTTTAGGAATTTGTATTCGAAAGAAACACCCAGAAGTAAAGGATTTCGTGCGTGAAAGCTGTGTTTCCCCTAGTTCTATCGCCAGGTTCAACGAATTGTTGACGGAGAGCAACCCAAACTATGCTTTGTTGTCGGAGCGGGCACTGAAAGACTGTGTTCGGAACATTCCTTTTATGAAAGTTTGTCTCGATTCGTAAGATATCAATTTACTGTATATTGTTAAAAAATAATGAAAGGTTTATGTTATTTACTTCTTGATTTTATTTTAATTAATTATATACAAGAAATCGGTTGGTTGGCAAAAAACCTAATTTCACTTGATAGAAATGATGATACGAAAGTTGATACATATCCTAAAAGACTGTCATAAAAAAAAATAGTGTATATGTTCTTTTTTAAACAGATTTGTTTCATGAAGTTTACAATTCAATCCTAAAGTTTTCTATTTACACTTGCGCTCTTTTTCATTACTACTAGATTACTTGGAGAGGGGTCATTTGGCCAAGTATACAAAGGCAAACTATTAAAGTATGGTGACTTTAAAGATGATATACCAGTAGCAATTAAGGTGACTACACTTCTCTCTCTCATATTACGTATTTAAAACCTAAAATGAGATCATTAAATATTATATATTTACATTTATTATAATGCTATTAGTTTATTTTTTCACAGAAACTACCTGCAGGGTCTATGAACGAGAACGTTTCAGATTTCTTATTTGAAGCTCTGACATTAAGGTTGGTAAAATCATCGATAAGAAATGTAGATCACAGTCAAAATAAATTTTAAACATGGTTTTAAAACGAAATATGACGATAACAAACAGTAATTCATTGAAACAAAGTAGAATACCGATCAGAGCATATACGAACCTCTGAAAATGGAGAAGTTTGGATCAGAAGCTATACAGGGGTAAGTATCCCTTTTGGCAAGTCTATCAATCCAGCGAGGAAGTATTTAATTTTTTGTATTCATATGAAGCAGAATTTGTCAACATCATAGTATGTGAAAAGAAGAAAACACTTGCTGTTGACTTCAATTCGACGTCTAGACATATCGACAACATATTTTCAATTAACAATGGTTATTTCCATTCTTGTGTCGATACAAAATATCCCTGATAGCCTGAGATAAAAGATAACACAGAGTCTGACACATCTGTTTCATATTTGGATGTTTTACTTGAAAACACATGAATGGGAATCTATCAACCAAGTTCAACTGTCAACTTCCCTTACTTACATGCCTTCATCACCTGAATATGGAGTTTATATATCCAAGTTGATTCGATACGCAAGAATATACTCTTCGTTTGTACAATTTTTAAAACGAGGTAAATTATTGACAAAAAAGCTGATGAAACAAGAATATCAGCGGTCTCGTTTAAAGTCATCATTTTGTAAGTTCTATTGTTAATATAATGACCACACTAATTGTTAGTCTATTATTTACAATGATTTGATGTTGGATTTTTTTCGGTATTTCCTGATCATGACACGGCGGGCGTGAACATTCGGAAGGTGATGCTCACTCCTCCATGGCACCTGATCCCACCTCTGATGTTTTAGAGGTCCGAATTTGCTCTGCTCCTATTTTGTAAAGTTTAATCGACTTTTGAACTCGAATACTGTTTGTTATATCCACACATTTCATTCTCTGTAAACAAAACAAAGACTGAAATAGATGATGATAACATTGAGTCGATTTAAAAATAAAAACCTTAACACTGTAAAGAATCCAGGGATAACACAAAATAATAATAGATTATCATAATACATTTACACCTACAAAAATTGTCATATGCGTTGGCAATCAAAGTTGTTAGAATTTAAAAGATTTCTTTAAAACTATTTTTTCGAAATATCTCTTTAGTGCAATCTTCAATGTACAAAACGTAGGGAGCAATGATACTACAGTTTATTTACTTTCACCCGCTTTAAGTTCGGAAGAATTGCAGAAGAAAGTATAAAACTCTTTAACATAGATTTATTGTTAGCTCACCTGAGCCAAATGCTCAAAGTGAGCTTTTCTGATCAAAATTTGTCCGTTGTGAGATGATCAAAGTTTTACATAGGAATATATGCGACAAATCTTTAAAAATCTTTTCAAGAGTAAAAAATCGATAACCGTGATAGGTAATATTTGTATGGAAATATTCTTAGATTTGTGTAGATACAAGTTTTTTCAAAGCATGACCTCAGGGGTAGGGCTGGGCCACAATTGACGAGCAAAGTTTAAATAGGAAAGAAATATAGCTATAATCTTTTAAAATCTTCTCGAGAAAAGCATTAGTCATATATAAATACATCATAAGATAGAGTAGATTAAAGTTTGTTCACCCCCCCCCCCCATCCGTTTTACGGATAGGTTAGGACCGCTAATTGATTTAAACTTTTCATTACTAAACCGATTTCTGCTTTCTTCCTAGCTGCAGTGCTTAGGTGGGCGATGAGGCCCATGGACATATTGTCTTGTTATCATTATTAAAATGATAATTGTTTGACTTTGATAACGATTGTTTTTTTATGCAGTAAGTTCGATCATATTAACATTGTTGGGTGCCTTGGTATCACCTCTGACCCTAAAGGTGAATTATTGCTAATACTGGAACTCATGGAAGGTGGGGATTTACGAAAGTATCTCAGAGATCACAGGAAAAACGAGGTATACAACAAGGGGGTACCCTTATCTTTATTTTCACGTACATATTATTTATCAAATTAAAGGAACGTTAAAGTGGGAAAAACAAATGCTCTGACTACAACAAGTAAAGGATTTTAATACATACTGTCTGATGTGAAAAACCAATCGATGATTATAAATAAGCAGGTGGTGATTCAAAACAAAAAAAAAGCTAATGAAGAATATTTCAAACTGCTAGATATTTCACTAAAAATTACACGTGTTTTGTAGGATTTAAGTGTTCAAGAGCTTTTGAAGATTTCATTAGACATCGCACATGGCTGTCAATACTTAGAAGAAAACAAATTTATACATAGGTAATTTATCTCTACATATAAAGATCATGTCTCTCAGTTGATTCGATACGCAAGAGGATGTTCCACATATGAACAATGTCTTAAACGAGGCAAACAGTAGACAAACAAGTTAATGAATCATGATTCAACAGTCCTCAATCTTCAAGTTCTATAATCGATAGAATAACTTTGCCAGCAAATACTTCCATGTTTAGTCGAATATTGAATATTTACTATTAAATATGACAATTAACAAAGAAGGTTACCCTTTCTTTACACATTTCTTCACTTATTAATATTGTAGGGATATTGCTGCAAGAAATTGTCTTCTTTCATCACTTGATGCCAATAAGATCGCGAAGATTGGGGATTTTGGCTTTGCAAAGGATATATACGGGTAAGAAAAAATGTTTAAGTGACATTATGTGATTTTGAAATAAAAAACAAGAAAAGTATTGATTTGGAAAACTTTTCTTTTAATGATCGAGATATAAATAATACATACTGAAAACATATCACTCGATTGTTGCGATCTTTACAGGGAACCCAGGTGATTACACAAAGGGTTTTGTTTTCATTTTTATCACGATTACATCACTTCTAGTAGAATTTTGTGATAACACTAGTTGGAATATTATGTGAAAACTCTTTTATTCGAGGTGTATTTTTTATTGAAAATTTTATCAATTTTACCTTAATAAATATTTCCACACACACGACTGTTGCCTTTTTACACTGGGTAACTATATACTGGAAAAATTACACATTATTTACTATTTT